CCCGCCGAGCCCGGGCGCACTCCACCGGGCCCCAATCCTCCGCCAGGCCGAGCCCTTCGAGGCAGATCCCCCGTCGGCGCCTCTCGGATCCTCCGCCAGGCCGCGTCCTTCAGGCCGGATCCTCCTTTGGGCTGCGGCCTCCGCCTGGGCCACTAGGCCGGGCCGCCGGGCCACGTCCTTTGCCCTTTGCCTGGGCCGCTAGGCCGGGCCGCCAGGCCACCGGGCTACATCCCCCGCTGGGCCGCATCTCCCGCTGGGCCACGTCCTTCGCCCGGGCCGCTGTGCCACTGGGCTGCATCCCCCGCCTGGGCCGCATCCCCTGCCTGGGCCGCTGGGCCGCTGGGCCGCTAGGCCGCATTCCCCGTCGCGCCGAGATCTCGCCGAGCCGGGACCTCCACCCACGACTCCGCCCGTAGCTCCACCCAGCCGAAACCAGGTGGTCGCGCGGCAAGCTGCCGGCTATCTCCGCTCCCCGAATTCAGGGTCGCTGAGCAGCCCCGACCCTCTGGAGGCTCCCCATCTCCGCTGAGGACTCCCCGGAGTCACGGAGCTAACCCCGGTAGGTCCACCATCTTAGCAATCAGCAAATCTACTTGTCTACTTACATGTGCAGGTGAAGTAAAAGTCTTGAGGAAAATAAAACATTGTTTGTTTTACAGAAACTTACTCCACATGAGCTTAACTTCATGTAGACCATACAGTAGGTAGACTCCCTTTATGTTACTGGAAACCACATTTATTTGTTTTGGGGGAGGTTACAATGACAGAGGTGATGAGGCTAGTCCATGGAGTTAAAGTTTCCTGATTAGGAGTGTGGAGAGAGTTGGTTGGTTTTTAAAACCAATCCAGTTGGTTTTTAAACCAGATTAAGACTATATCAAAGGCTTACACAACAAGGTTCTTTGTATTCATGAATTAAAATTTTGAGAAACCACGCTGTCACTTTTCAAAAATTGCACAATCAAAATTCAACACCCTGATCAAAGGGTGTGTGTGTGTGTTAGAGCTCAGTCGTGGCCTTGCGGGTTGTCCAGCCCTAATTCAAATAACATTTGGTATCAGAAAAGAACTCAGCTAGGTAACCAAGCAATTTTACTGTTTTGCTTGATCTGTCTAATTGAGCCTCATAATTCAATATTCACTGATACTTACAACATAAAATGTACTGTATGAACCATTGCCATTCTAGGAAAAAAGATAAGAAATCAAAGAATGATTGATATATATGGGTACAATCAAGTTTTTAAAAATTAGACTTTTAGATGGAAGAACCTTATGTGGGGTCAGAAAAGTGGGCTATTGTGTACATTCCCTGTTCCTCTATCCACTGGATACCCATTGAACATCCATTTTTCTCCTATGATAGAAATAAATGCTCTGGGGAACTATTGGTTGAAAGACAGCTATGTCCATTTTTCATTCCACACCTTCCACTTGGAAGATTGCATGGGGGAAGCCCAAATGGGGGAAAATGAAGAAGCTGCTTCAGAGAACTGAAGAGAAACTGCCACTGACAGACCCGTCCTCATGAATTTACCACATCCTTTGGAAAGGCCATCTCGAGTCATCTGTAGTCCTGACTTGTCCAACTCAGCTTTCCCCAACTGGAGTCCTCCAAAATCAAACTCCTCTCACCAAGAAGTAAATCATGTACCTCTCCTGGCTTTAACCTAAGAACTTGTCCCTTGTGCCTAGGACCACTCTTAAAAAAAAGCAAAACTATGAAGAAGGTTCCTGAATATATGCAGAGACCTTTTATCTCTCCAGTGCCCCCCTGCTTCAATTAGAGTTTCTGGAGCAGTGTGTGTATAACCTGCAGGGCAGATCCAAGGCCAGCAAATCTCTTTTTAAGGATTCATCCCTGGCCAGTTCCCTGCAGAGGGAGTCACAATGCTTCCCACTCCTCTTCTTATTCATTTTGCACCACTCCTCCACTCTGGCCCAGGCATTCTTCCTGGAAGGACTTTTGCAATCCTGCTGCTGCCAGGCCTTGTCTGCAATTGTTGAGGAAGTGTGGTGTTGGGAGCAGGCAGAGGCAGCAGCCTTGTCTAGAGGATTGAGGCTTTGGACAGAGAAAACCCAAACCATCTGCTGAGCCAGCGCTAGGGAATTTGAAGTGGGTTGTGGGAGGAGAGTCAACGAGCGAGGAGGAAGTGTCTTTCCCATCTGATTTTCCTCATGGCAGCCAAAGAATGTGAAACCCTCAATGAGAAAATGAATAAGGAAACAGGAATGTTTATGGTTTTGCCAGAATTCCCCCATAAATTTGAGAGATGCTGCTCAATGGAAAACAACGTCCCATTCAGTTCCAGCACTTGTCCATCGCTCAGGCTCTCTGCCAGATGGAAACCCAGGTAGTCTCCATTCTCAGCACCTGCCCAGCAGGATTCAGCATCTGCTTCGTGGTGCCTTGATTGTTAAGCAGGCTCTAAATGTGGCATTTTAAAGGTAACCCATTGTGACAAGGGCTGAAGCTGTGGGCCAGCCTGACAGGCAGATGGAGGCAACCGCCTCAGATTGAGCCTTGGGGGAGTGGGGGTGGGGTGGGAAGAATGAAAGAGAGTAGCAACAGCTGTCCTGTTCTTCTTGACTGAGCTATTTGGCTCTCCTGGAGAAGACAGAGGGATAATGCTTTCGGAAAATACTACCAAATTCCTATCAGTCATTCCCACAAACATTTGAAGCAGCAAGCAGAACCACAATCCCTTAGTGTGGGCTGATTGTTTTAAGAACATGTGTTTTAAGATGGCATCTGATTTTTATTTTCAGGCAAACTGGGTTTCCTTCCTGTGTGAAGGCTTCTGGGGCTATTTTGAACGTGCATACTGACCAAGTGGAAAGAATGGCCCAGGTTCTGCATATGGAGACTGCTTTCCCAGGTAGGTCTGTTTGAACACTACTTTTGAACAGAGAGCATCAGCAGATGGAATTGTGCATCTTTTGTGCTAACCCATATAGTAATTTTAGATCACATTGCCACATTCAATCTCTGAATTATTCTCACTGAAAGTTCTTTTATTTCGTAACATGGGATACAGTTCTGTTTCTTCTGTATGCAAACATGTTTTCACTTGATGCCTGTGAAATATAGTTGGGATTTAGTGATATAGTACAGTATTTATGAGTACAGATAGTCCTCATTTAGTGACCGTAATTGGGACTGCTTACTCAATTGTTAAGTGAAACTTCTACTGTGCATATGATCTTACTTCAGCTTTCCTTTGCCTTACAGACCTGAAAAGGTTGTAAATGCGAGGACTGATCACAGAGTTACTTTTCATTGTCATCATAACTGAACAGTTGCTAAATGAAGCAATTGTTAAATGAGAACTATCTGTATATTGGTAGTCCCAGAATATAATTTGAGAATCGGAGTGTTTCCTAATGAAAAGCAAAAATAGGGGAGGGTAACAAGTGGAAATAATTCTGGCCAGATCACTAAATAAGATTTCATAGACAATAAAAACCTCATTCTAGGAATCCCTAAATGCTACATAGATTTGGTGGTGCAATGGTTAAAGTGCAGCATTGCAGGTTAACTCGGCCCACAGCCTGGAGTTCAATCCTGCCAAGTCTCAAGGTTGACTCAGCCTTCCATCCTTCCAAAGTCAATAAAATGAGGGCCCAGATTGTTGGGGGCAATATGCAAATAATGCTTCTGCATTGTCAACCACCCAGAGAATGCTGTAAAGCTCTATGGAGTGGTATGTAAGATTAAATATTATTGCTACTGCTGTTTCATTTTTGGATTAGAGAAAAGTCTCTAATCTGGGAGAAAGTCTCAGTTAAAAGAATAAAATCATTTTCTTGTTAGAATAAACTAAGTCCTATCTACACTTCGGTAACCAGCTAGATGCCCAAATATAGCAACTTAAGAAGTGCATCTAAGGTCAGTTTACAACAAGAACAAGCTATCCATGCCGTGTTTCTCTCCAGCATTTTAGAAATATATTGACTCTGGAACACTTTTTGTATTCTTCTAGAACACTACATGTGCACGTGCAGAACACTAAAAAATTTTTTAGCATACACTATTTGAATACCTTTTGAAACAAACAACAATGAACAGAACAATGTCTTTTCCCCGTCACTGACCTGAGCGCTGATCATTGGAACTGTGGAAAAAAGTTATCAGAGCTGCTGAAGGATCTGTGGTACACAAAGAATGGCATAGAGTTGCCTGTGAACTAAGAATTGCCCACACACAGAGCATTATATGTGCAAGCTGTACTATCTTATGTTATGTCAGTACTGAGGTTGGATGAGATGCTATGACACTTTAGAATAAAGGCATCAAACTCTTTTTTTGTAAATTTTTAATTATTTTTTCCATACAATTCAATAGTGCTTATTCAACAACATGTTGTCTAATTTTGTCATTCACTAATATAAATTTAATTCCTAATCCTTTATTCTTTTCTCCAGCCATTGATAAAACAAGTCCCAAGTCTGATAGTATTCTGTTTCTTCTTTTTCTTTCTCCCCCCCCCCAATTTTTTTATTAATTTTCCAATATTACATTTACATATTTGAAAACTAGCATGGCGGCTGAGCACCGTAATTCCATTACATTTGAATATCATCAGTACAAATCTCAAAGTATTACAACAACTAATTCCCTCTCTTTCCCTCATAATATCTACTGTCTCATATTCAGATCAATACAGTTCTTATTCTAGCAATCAAACAAAAATACCTTTCTAATATTCATCAATAATCTTCGGTCTATACATATCTTAATTGATTTGACATTCCATCTTTTAGACAATAACCTAGTAAGTTTTTCTTAACTTTAATTTCCCATTGATATTTAAATTTAACATTTAATCTTTATCATTTCCAAATTTTAAATGACCCAAATTTCTAAGTCTCCTATCTCATATTTGGGGCTAATAATTTTTTTCTTTTCTTCCTTCTACTTCCTTCCTTTCTTCCTTTCCAAATAATAATAATAATAATAATAATAATAATAATAATAATAATAATAATAATAATAATAATAATAATAATAATAATAATAATAATAATAATAATAATTAATACTGTCAGCATTTGTACCACAAACCAATATACAAATTTAATTATTAGTATTTATACTTCTAAGTTTTACTTAACCTTTGTCTCAACTCATAACAATATCTTAAATTCAAATCTTAGTTATTTTTAAACATTCAAACTTTTAGCCAATCAGTGACCTGATATTAATTTTCCCTTAATATTTTAATTTAACGTTTAATATTTTTTTTCCAAATTTTTAATTAAGCACAATTCTTTTATAACAGTTCCTCATACAATCTAATATTTAAAATACACACCTTATATATAAATTCTACCATCTATCTTAATAAACTAATAAAACAATATAATATTCTTATTTCAATATTTATACTTCTAGATTTTATATAATCAAAATTTTCTTTATCTCAAATTGTTACAATATCTTGTGTTCAGAATACATATTCTATCCATTTAGATATATTCTATTTTAGATCTCGTGTAAATCAAAACCCCAATCCTTTTCAGTCTTATTCTATCTTTTTTTCTTTGCCAAGTCATCTTTCGTATCTTTGCTTTTAAATCATCAAAAAGATCTCCTTGTATTTTTGTGGCTATTGTTTGATATTGATAAAAGCGTCCAGTTGATGTTTTCTTGAGAGGACTAGCTGATTTAGCAAGTCATCTCTTTGTTTTTCCAATTCGATTCAGTTGTCCCGAAGTGTTTATCTTCTCTTTCATTTGTTTTTCTTTTATATCTTCAAATTCCTTCTTGTTTATAAGAAAAGTCCTCTCTTTGTTCTCTGTTACCAGTTTCTTTTTTGTGTTTTCCATTGTCTGTATTTGTTGAGTATCTAAGTCTTCTGTCATAGCATTTGGTTGTTTCACTTTCTCTATATAGATGTATAGATGATTCTTTGGTTGAAGTCATAGTTTGAGTTTGCATATCCAGACTTATACGGATAGTTTGGATAATCGCTTTTAACATACAAAGAATTTGTTCCTGTTCTTCCTTTGTAGGAGAAATCCATTTCTGTTCTTCTTCCATTGTAGCCTATTAAACTAAAAAAAACTTACAGTCAGAAAGTCCACCAAATGAGGAGCTGAGCTGAGTTTCTTGCAGCTGGTGCTTCAAGGTTGCTTTATATCTTATCTATTTTCTAAGCTGTCAACAAGTCTCTCTTAAAGAATAGCAGGTTACAGTTTCAAATTTAGCCACCAGATGTCATCTCAGAGTTAGTTGGATCTTTTCAGTTTTCCCCCTCCCCTCTATCTTAAGGGGAAAAAAACCCCAAATCTTCAATAATAGAGTAAAAATCAGAGAGAAAAAATAGAGAGTAGAAAGTTACAAGTCTTATAATCCATCAATTTTAGGAAATAGAATTCCAATTAGGATCCCAGTATTTTTCCAACGTTTTAAACTCCTGAGTGGTCAATCGCCGCTTTTTCTGGAGGAAAGGCTAAAATCCCCCTTCCCTCACCACAGGGGGAAAAGTACTTTAGCAGCTTATGCAGGTAATTAAGTAATTAGGATGTAAGCGAGGCAGATCTCACCCAGTCTCTTCCACGCTGCTTTAAAGTTGCCAGATGGTAAACGTGACTTCGGCTGTTAGCAGCCTAGGGACGAGCCATATTTTTATGGCCGGTCTTTTTGTTCGCCGGTTTGGAGTGATCGCCAGCTCTAACGGGAGAGTTGCTCTCCCGCAATCCAGTGAAAGCCCCTCCTTGCTGGTCACCTCTTTGGGGCGACTTTCGGTCCTTTTCAGCCCCCCCCCAGCAATGCGAAATTGAACGGGGGAGAGAGAGCAAATCTCCCAGCTGTCCATGGTGGCTGCGTGACAAACCGGAAGCCACTGTTTCTTCTTTTTCTTTCATAGTAAGTCTGTCCATTTCTGCGCATTCTAATATTTTTTTAATTACCGTATTTTTCGCTCTATAAGACGCACTTTCCCCCCCCAAAAGATGGGGGAAAATGTCTGTGCGTCTTATGGAGCGAATGCCGCCTCCCACCGTGCCGCTCCGCATCCTGCGCCTCCGTGTTTCAAGCCTCTGTGTCACAGAACTGCTGGCGTTATGCTTGGGTGGAAGACGTTTTCTTTTACAGATGGGGCGGGTGGGCCTGACATTCGCGCGCAGGCAGGACTCCGCCCGCCGAGCCACCGCTTCCCCATCGCCCTCCACGCCAGCCGGCTCCGTCTCCAGACCTCCCAGCTTACGGGCACAGGTCCGGGGCTCGCCAGCTGACGGGTGCAGGAGGTAGGCACCGCCTCCCAACCGCGCTGCCGCGGCCTCCCAGCTGCTTGCTTCTTCGGCTGGAGCGACTGCAAGGGCTTGCATGGTCCCCAAGGGCTGCTGACGCGCTCCCCGCCGCCGGCGACCATGCAAACCCTTGCATGGTCGGGTGGGCCTGACATTTGCGCGCAGGATTCGCGCGCGCCTACCTCTTGCGCCCGCCAAGCCACCACTTCCCCATCGCCCTGCACGCCAGCCGTCTCCGTCTCCAGACCTCCCAGCTGTTGGGCGCAGGTCCGGGGCTCGCCAGCTGA